CGTAGGTCAGTCCCACGTGTTGACAGCGTGCTGCAGCTGCTGGCTGAAGTTGCCGACAAGTGTGGCGTACGATGCGTTGTTTGCCAGATTGACTGAGAAGCCGTCAAAGTCAAAGTCCCGGCCCGTGTCTGCTGTCAGGTCATACAGCTCGTATGCTGCCGTTCTGTTCCAGTCCACGCGCATGGTGGTGTTGTCGAAGGGCACCCACGCTGTGAACCGGTAGTCCCCTGTCCGCATCGTGTAGCCCATGAAGTCAAAGGCGGGCAGCGGCACGTGCGCACACGCGTTGGCATCGCACTGCGTCACGTTGTACTTTGGAAACAGTGCACACGCGCACCGGCCAATCTGGGAGTAGGCCAGCTTCGTCTGTAGCTTATGCGGCGGCGCGTCGGGGTCATCAAACGCCCCTGCAAGCGACGTGCCTTGTACCCCATCCTCCACATGGTCTCCGAGACCTGCCAGGTCAGCGAGGGTGCGGTACAGGTCAACAAGCTCCGCCCGCACCTTTGTGCGCTTGCCAATGCTGTTCTGCTTCCACGGCACACGCACCATAAACGGCACGTGCACGGCCAGCTCTGTATCCGTCTTCTTTGACCACTCGTTCAGCTCGCCAAGCTGGTACCCTGCGGCGGAGCTTCCACGGCACACGCACCATAAACGGCACGTGCACGGCCAGCTCTGTATCCGTCTTCTTTGACCACTCGTTCAGCTCGCCCAGCTGGTACCCTGCCGTGGTGGTGGTGGTGGTGGTGGTGGTGGTGGAGGTGGTGAGTGGGTGCGCGCGCGTGTGTGTGCATGCTCGTGTGTTTGTGTGTTTGAATGTGTGTGCGCGCGCGTGTGTGTGCATATGTGCATGCTCATGTGTTTGAATGTGCGCATGTGTGTCAGTGTGTATCTTGTCCACCGTGGTCGCTGTGGAAGACGATGATGGTGTTGTTCTCGACACCAAGCTCCTCCAGCTTGCGGATGGCGCGGCCCAGGCTGTGGTCCGTCCACGTGACTGCAGCGTAGTACCACCTGCCGTGGCGTGTGGTGGCGTGATGATGTGAAGCATAAGCACCGCGGCGGGGATGAGTGAATGCGCATGCGATTGTGTGAGTGAATGTTTGGTGTGTTGGGTGTACGCGCGCGCGTGTGTATGTGAGTGAATGCGTATGCGAGTGCGGGTAGCCTGCGCATGTGAAGCTATGTATGTGTGTGTATGTGTGTGTGTGTGTGTGATTGCAACCTGTTCATCTCACTTTCGGTATTCGACTGAGCGCTCGTCTGGAACAACGCAAGAAGGACAGCCATGCGCAGGATCGTTGATGTCGCCGTCTGTGCACGAGAACACGAGAGAGTCAAGCCAAGTTCGCGAGTGAAGGTGTGAGCTCTCACAACACATGATTGTGTTTGTGCTTGTGGACATCACAACAAGAGCAAGAGCAAGAGCAGGAGCAAGAGCAAAATCAATAAGAAGAGCAAGAGCAAGAACAAGAACAGCAGTAGCAGCAGCAACAGCCCTACCTGCCCAGTTTCCAGCCATATAAGGCACATTTTGCGGAGGGTACCGGTGCTTGGGCGGCGCAACGTCAAACGGATAGAGCTCAGAGCCGTAGAAGCCAGCGGGGACGCGGTACGGCGTGTGTGGACGATGAACACCAATGGACACCCACCAGGGCTTGCCAGACTGATGAGCGAGCTCCATGCGCTTGAGGCCTTCCGTCAACGCCAGGTCCTCGTCTGTGTACTGGATCAAGCTGTCCTTGGTCACGCCGCAGTAGTTGAAGTGGGGGTCGTGGATGTCACCCGGCTGGCACTCAATCCACTTTGTCTGATTCGAAGGATATGACCACGACGGTGGGTCGTCCATGCCGTCATGATAGACCTTGCCTGCTGCCGACGTGAAGTACCCTTGCTTCTTGAAGAACTGTGGCATTGCCGTCCAATTCTTGCCTAGCGTCAGACGAGGGAGGAAAGTAGAGAGGGAGAGGGAGAAAAAGTGTGTGTGTGTGTGAGAGAGAGAAAACGTGTGTGAGAGTGAGAGAAAGTGAGGAGGGGGAGGAGGGACAAGGACGAGCAAGTAAGCAAGGGGCCGGTGAGTGGGAGATGGCATGTGAGGAAACCACAGTTAGAAAAGAGGATAATCAGAAGAAAGAGGCTCTTGGCATAGATGCAAAGCGCTGCGATGCTGAGGAAACAATTACGCACAAACTGACATACAAACAGATACACGAACAGACACACAAACAGACACACACACACAAACAGACAACACAACGACACAACACACCGCACAATACCACAGCAGAACACAACACTTGTACATCATAGGCATGCATGCTGACCTCCTGGGGCTTCGCGAAAGGTGGTGAGAAAGTTCAGGGCACGGGTGCGGTCTGGCCGGCGTCCAGACATGAAGGAGTTGCGCGACGGTGCACAGTAGGCGAACTGGGTGTACGCAAAGTCGAACAGGAGGGACCGTTGTGCCAGTGCGTCGATGTTTGGCGTGATCATGTACTCGTGCCCGTAGGCGCCCAGCTGCGGTCGCATGTCATCTGCCACAAGGTGCAGAATGTTTGGCAACCGGTCTGCCGGTGTTCCGTGACACACCTCAGCAGCATCAACCACCGCCACCAGAATCAGCGCCAACACAGGCAGCAAAGCCATCGTCGAGCTGCTGGCTGGTGTGCTTGTTCTGTTTTGCTTGACCACCGTTGGTCAGTTGCCGTGAGTCGTGCTTGCGAGCGATGTGCCCGAGAGCTGTGTACGTGACAGCAGTGTGCGTGGTAGGTGTGTGTACGTGTGATGACACTTGACACTGGAGCACAACCACAACCACAGCCAGCGCTGTGTTGTTCGCAACCTCCGCCAATGTGCCGATAATTGATCCATATCTTACACTAATCGCCCAAACTTGCCATTGAAGTTGGAAACGGTGGCAGCTGTTGTTGTTCTTGTTGTGCTTGTTGTTGTTCCGTGGTGGTGAGCGATGATGGACACTGACGCTGACATTCTCGACCCGTCCAAGACAGTCTGGGAAACAATACAAGAATGGATACCTCCTTCAGAGCGAGACGAGGTAAGAGTAACAGAGCGGTTTGTGACACCCGTGCGTGTACAGTCAGTCGCACGTCAGCTGTTGTGTGTGTGTTGTTGTGCGAGTTGTGGCGTGCGTTGTTTTGGTTTGGGTTGCCAAGGCTGTATGTTGGAAGCACAACATGCCATGCTGCGACGCTCACTCGAACACGCGAGCGCGTACGCTCATGTACACGCCTTGGACATGAAGATTCGTCGCCAAATTGGAGAAGCGCTGCTGTCTGAGTTGGAGGACTTGCACCAAGAGCTCTGTTTATTAACTGACATTTGGAGGGATTATCGAGCCACCATATCCACTGAAGAACAGTCCATTGGTGCGTCGCCTGAAGCGGTTGTGCACTGGATGTTGCTTGCTGTGACAACGGTGCTGAGTGTATGTGAGTGTATGTGAGTGTATGTGAGTGTATGTGAGTGTATGTGAGTGTGAGTGTATGTGAGTGTGTGAGTGAAGGTGAGTGAGCGTGTGAGTGTGCGTGAACGCGTGAGCGTGTGAGTGAGTGCGTGTGTGTGAGTGAGTGTGTGTGCGTGTGAGTGTGTGAGTAAGTGAGCGTGTGAGTGAGTGAGTGTGTGAGTGTGTGAGTAAGTGAGCGTGTGAGTGAGTGAGTGTGTGAGTGTGTGAGTGTGTGAGTGTGTGAGTGTGTGTGTGTGTGAGTGAGTGAGTGTGTGAGTGAGTGTGTGTTGTTCGTGAATATGTTTGTCCACTGCCAGTGTCCTTAAATTCACGAGCCAATGCGTGCGGGATGCCATGTAGAACAAGAGAAGACGCGAAGCAAACAGCAGCAGCTTCCCGAACCCCCAAATGCGCGCGCCAGACTGGAACAGGAGATTCGCTTCTTTGCCGAATGCCTCCGAAACAGGTGCGTGTGTGTGTTGTGCGTGTTGTGCGTGTTGTGTGTGTTGTGCGTGTTGTGCGTGTTGTGCGTGTGTGTGTGTGTGTGCGTACGTAGCGTTTGCTGCTCCCTTGCTGACGCGCTGTCATGGATTGCTGCTGCACAGCAATTCGGCCAGCCTACAGGACAACGTAGTGCAACAAGTCTGCCGCCAATCCTCAGCTTCAAGTGCGTGCATGCGTGTGGGCGCGCGTGTGTGCGCATGCCTGTGCGA